TTTTTTTGTGATTTTTTTTGTGATTTTTTTTCCTGATTCTTTCTCTCCCCTAGAGCCCCCTGAGCCCGGCCCTGGTGGCTGCCCCAGTTAAGCCCAGTGTCCAGACTGGGAGCGCCGCCCCTCCTCCGCCCCCCAAGCGCCGCTTCACCGAGGAACTGCCCGACGACAGCGCCGGCCTGCTCGGATACCAGGTGGAAAAGACTTCTTTTTGGGGTTATTTTGGGGTTTTTGGGGGGTTTTATTGGGGTTTGTTAGAGGAGTTTTTTAGGGGTTTATTGGAGGTTTTTTTAAGGATTTTTTTAGGATTTATTACGATTTTTTTAGGATTTTTTCGGATTTTTTCGTATATTTTTAGCGATTTCTTGCCTTTTTTTTAGGGTTTATTAGAAAAATTGATTTTTTTACCATTCTAACCTCGATAATTTCAGGAAAAAATGAATTTTAACCGCTCTGCCTTCAATAATTTCAGGAGAAATTGGAATTTTTGGTGATTAAAGGTTCTGGATTAGGCTGTGGGTGTTGTGTCGCTCACGCCGTGTGTTTTTCTGCTCATAGCACGGACCCATTGATGATTTTAGGAAAAAAATTCAATTTTGACCCTTTCACCCTCAAGATTTTTACGAAAAAATTAATTTTTTACCATTCCACCATTGATACTTTTAGGAAAAAATGGATTTTTCACCGCTTCGCCTTTGTTAATTTCAGGGGGAAATTGATTTTTTACCGTTCTGCTCTCAATATTTTCAGGAAAAAATTGATTTTTTTTTACCGTTCTAGCATTGATATTTTTTGGGAAAAATGGATTTTTAACCGCTCTACCATTGATTATTTCAGGAAAAAATTGATTTTTAACCACTCTACCATTGATATTTTTAGGGAAAAAAATGATTTTTGACCTTTCTACCTTCAATTTTTTTAGGGAAAACGAATTTTTAACCGCTCTGCCGTTGATATTTCCAGGAAAAAAATGATTTTTTTGGTGATTAAAGGTTCTGGAGTTGGGCTCTCGGTGGTTTTGTCGCTAACGCCGTGTGTTTTTCTGCTCATAGCATGGACCCATTGATATGACTAATTTAGGTACAGGCTTCTCCAGCGCCGCCGACGCGCCCGGAGCCGCCGCCAAGGCAGCGAGTTCCTCGGGGAAGGAGCGCGAGAGGGACAGGTGAGAACAAAAAAAATTCATTATTTACCAAAAAATTATGGTTTTGGGGTTTTTTTTTGCTTGTATTGGGATTTTATGGGGAATTTTTTGTGATTTTTTGAGTATTTTATTGGGATTTTTTGGGGCATTTTTTGTGATTCTTTGAGTATTTTATTGGGATTTTTTTGAGGTTTATTGGCATTTTCTGGAGGTTTATTGCATTTTTTTTGGCTTTTATTGAAATTCTTTAGGGGTTTTATTGAGATTTTTTTGGAGGTTTATTGAGATTTTTTTTGGGGGCGTTTAATGCAATTTTTTGGGGATTTTATTGGGATTTTTTTTTTGTTTTATTGGGATTTTTTTGAGGTTTATTGGGACTTTTTTGGGGATTTTATTTGAGATTTTTTTGGGGTTTTATTGGGATTTTTCTGAGGGTTTTATTGCAAACCCCGGAGCCGCCACCAAGGCAGCGAGTTCCTCGGGGAAGGAGCGCGAGAGGGACATGTGAGAAATTCCAAAATAATTCCAAAATAAATGGAATTCGAATAATTCCAGAAATTATTGATCAAAACCGTTTTGTGTTTTTTTTCCCGTGAGTTTGAAATCTTATTTTTTATTTAATTTTCTTTATTTTCTTTCTGCAGGCAGTTGATGCCTCTGCCGTCTTTGTATTTTACTGTATTTTGTTGTGGGTTTTTTGTTTTTTTTTTCTTCTTTTTAAATTTTTTTCTTTTTTATTTATTATTTTATTTTTAATTTAATTAAATTTTATATTTGTTTATTTTCTTGCAGGCAGTTGATGCCTCCGCCGTCCTTTCCCATCCCCGCAGCGAAGTCGGAGCCGGAGGAGAGAAAAGGAGCGGGGGCAGCGCCGGGGAGCCACGGTGAGAGCCCAAAAACCCCAAAAAAACCCCCAAAACCCCCTTTAGTGCCCCAAAAATACACTCAAAATTCCGGAAATCCCCTTTAGTGCCCCAAAAAATCCAATTTTATTACCCAAAAATCCCCTTTATTGCCCAAAAAAATCTCATTTTCTTACCCAAAAATCCAATTTTTTTTCCCTTATCCGAAAATCCAAGTTTTTTGCCCAAAGTCCACTTTGACCTCTCTGGTCTGACCCCAAAATT